GATAAATATGAAAAGAAAGAGAATTTCATAAAACAATGATAAATATGAAAAAAAGAGAATTTCATAAAATAATGATAAATATGAAAAGAAAGTGAAATATATAAAATAATGATGAATATGAAAAGAAAGTGAATTTCATAAAATAATGATAAATATGAAAAGAAAGTGAAATATATAAAATAATGATGAATATGAAAAGAAAGAGAATTTCATAAAATAATGATAAATATGAAAAGAAAGAGAATTTCATAAAACAATGATAAATATGAAAAGAAAGAGAATTTCATAAAATAATGATAAATATGAAAAGAAAGTGAAATATAAAATAATGATGAATATGAAAAGAAAGAGAATTTCATAAAATAATGATAAATATGAAAAGAAAGAGAATTTCATAAAAATGATAAATATGAAAAGAAAGAGAATTTCATAAAATAATGATAAATATGAAAAGAAAGTGAAATATATAAAATAATGATGAATATGAAAAGAAAGTGAATTTCATAAAATAATGATAAATATGAAAAGAAAGTGAATTTCATAAAATAATGATAAATATGAAAAAAAGAGAATTTCATAAAATAATGATAAATATGAAAAGAAAGTGAATATATAAAATAATGATGAATATGAAAAGAAAGTGAATTTCATAAAATAATGATAAATATGAAAAGAAAGTGAATTTCATAAAATAATGATAAATATGAAAAGAAAGAGAATTTCATAAAAATGATAAATATGAAAAGAAGAGAATTTACAAAATAATGATAATATGAAAAGAAAGAGAATTTCATAAAATGATAAATATGAAAAGAAAGAGAATTTCATAAAATAATGATAAATATGAAAAGAAAGTGAAATATTAAAATAATGATGAATATGAAAAGAAAGTGAATTTCATAAAATAATGATGAATATGAAAAGAAAGTGAATTTCATAAAAATGATAAATATGAAAGAAAGAGAATGTTATAAAAAATGATAAATATGAAAAGAAAGAGAATTTCATAAAATAATGATAAATATGAAAAGAAAGTGAAATATATAAAATAATGATGAATATGAAAAGAAAGAGAATTTCATAAATAATGATAAATATGAAAAAAAGAGAATTTCATAAAAAAATGATAAATATGAAAGAAAAGAATTTCATAAAATAATGATAAATATGAAAAGAAAGAGAATATATAAAATAATGATGAATATGAAAAGAAAGTGAAATTTCATAAAAATAATGATAAATAAATAAAGAAGTGAAATATATAAAATTATGAATAATGAAAAGAAAGAGAATTTCATAAATAATGATATAAATATGAAAAGAAAGAGAATTTCATAAAACAATGATAAATATGAAAAGAAAGAGAATTTCATAAAATAATGATAAATATGAAAAGAAGTTGAAATATATAAAATAATGATGAATATGAAAAGAAAGAGAATTTCATAAAATAATGATAAATATGAAAAGAAAGAGAATTTCATAAAACAAATGATAAATATGAAAATAAAGAGAATTTTATAAAAATGATAAATATGAAAAGAAAGAGAATTTCATAAAACAATGATAAATATGAAATAAAGAGAATGTTACAAAATAATGATGAATATGAAAATAAAGAGAATGTTACAAAATGATGTATATGAAAGAAAGAGAATGTTATAAAAAATGATAAATATGAAAAGAAGAGAATGTCAGAAAACAATGATTAATATAAAAGAAAGAGAATTTTATAAAATAATAATAAATATGAAAAGAAAGTGAATTTCATAAAATAATGATGAATATGAAAAGAAAAAGAATTTCATAAAATAATGATAAATAGGAAAAGAAATAGAAATATATATAAAATAATTATGAATATGAAAAGTGAATTTCATAAAATAATGATAAATATGAAAAGAAAGAGAATGTTATAAAACAATGTTAAATATGAAAAGAAAGAGAATTTTATAAAATAATGATAAATATGAAAAGAAAGAGAATTTCATAAAATAATGATAAATATGAAAAGAAAGTGAAATATATAAAATAATGATGAATATGAAAAGAAAGAGAATTTCATAAAATAATGATAAATATGAAAAGAAAGTGAAATATATAAAATAATGATGAATATGAAAAGAAAGTGAATTTCATAAAATAATGATGAATATGAAAAGAAAAAGAATTACATAAAACAATGATAAATTCTCTTTCTTTTCCTATTTATCATTATTTTATGAAATTCTCTTTCTTTTCATATTCATCATTATTTTATGAAATTCACTTTCTTTTCATATTCATCATTATTTTATATATTTCTCTTTCTTTTCATATTTATCATTATTTTATGAAATTCACTTTCTTTTCATATTCATCATTATTTTATTGCACTCTCATTCTTTTCATATTTATCATTATTTTATGAAATTCTCTTTCTTTTCATATTCATCATTATTTTATATATTTCTCTTTCTTTTCATATTTATCATTGTTTTATGAAATTCACTTTTCATATTCATAATTATTTTATATATATTTCTATTTCTTTTCCTATTTATCATTATTTTATGAAATTCTTTTTCTTTTCATATTCATCATTATTTTATGAAATTCACTTTCTTTTCATATTTATTATTATTTTATAACATTCTCTTTCTTTTAATATTTATCATTATTTTATGAAATTCACTTTTCATATTCATAATTATTTTATATATATTTCTCTTTCTTTTCCTATTTATCATTATTTTATGAAATTCTTTTTCTTTTCATATTCATCATTATTTTATATATTTCACTTTCTTTTCATATTTATCATTATTTTATAAAATTCTCTTTCTTTTCATATTCATCATTATTTTATATATTTCTCTTTCTTTTCATATTCATCATTATTTTATGAAATTCACTTTCTTTTCATATTTATCATTATTTTATGAAATTCACTTTCTTTTCATATTCATCATTATTTTATATATTTCACTTTCTTTTCATATTTATCATTATTTTATGAAATTCTCTTTCTTTTCATATTCATCATTATTTTATATATTTCTCTTTCTTTTCATATTTATCATTATTTTATGAAATTCACTTTCTTTTCATATTCATCATTATTTTATATATATTTCTCTTTCTTTTCCTATTTATCATTATTTTATATATTTCTCTTTCTTTTCATATTCATCATTATTTTATGAAATTCACTTTCTTTTCATATTTATCATTATTTTATGAAATTCACTTTCTTTTCATATTCATCATTATTTTATATATTTCTCTTTCTTTTCATATTTATCATTGTTTTATGAAATTCTCTTTCTTTTCATATTTATCATTATTTTATGAAATTCTTTTTCTTTTCATATTCATCATTATTTTATGAAATTCACTTTCTTTTCATATTCATCATTATTTTATATATTTCACTTTCTTTTCATATTTATCATTATTTTATGAAATTCTCTTTCTTTTCATATTTATCACTATTTTATTACATTCTCTTTCTTTTCATATTCATCATTATTTTATTGCACTCTCATTCTTTTCATATTTATCATTATTTTATAAAATTCTCTTTCTTTTCATATTCATCATTATTTTATATATTTCTCTTTCTTTTCATATTTATCATTATTTTATGAAATTCTCTTTCTTTTAATATTTATCATTATTTTATGAAATTCACTTTTCATATTCATCATTATTTTATATATATTTCTCTTTCTTTTCATATTTATCATTGTTTTATGAAATTCTCTTTCTTTTCATATTTATCATTATTTTATGAAATTCTTTTTCTTTTCATATTCATCATTATTTTATGAAATTCACTTTCTTTTCATATTCATCATTATTTTATATATTTCACTTTCTTTTCATATTTATCATTATTTTATATATTTCTCTTTCTTTTCATATTTATCATTGTTTTATGAAATTCTCTTTCTTTTCATATTTATCATTATTTTATGAAATTCTTTTTCTTTTCATATTTATCATTATTTTATGAAATTCACTTTCTTTTCATATTCATCATTATTTTATATATTTCACTTTCTTTTCATATTTATCATTATTTTATATATTTCTCTTTCTTTTCATATTTATCATTGTTTTATGAAATTCTCTTTCTTTTCATATTTATCATTATTTTATGAAATTCTTTTTCTTTTCATATTTATCATTTTTTTATGAAATTCTTTTTCTTTTCATATTCATCATTATTTTATGAAATTCACTTTCTTTTCATATTCATCATTTATTGACCATAGATTTCGAAAAAAAATGCTGCATATTGAGCGAAAACTATGATTATATTATAAGGCTGTCATTTAAAGCATAATGAAACTATTTCCTTTTCATTTTAATCGAATAAGATAGTAAAGATTTTTGAATTAGCTAGAAACTGATGAGATGTTTTCACAAATCAGATTTTTAATCTCTATAATGCATAATTCACTCAATATCTCAATTTTGATATTGCGAGATATTTTTGCTATCGGTTTCGCAATTTTGACACAATAGCAAGAGGGTTCTATAAGCATTATTATCAACGTAGAATCTGAATATCATATCAGAAAATGTCGCAAATCTGACATTTACCCGACCAAATAGCAAAAATAATTGAATACTTTTCGCAAAAACTTTAAAAATCGATAAAAATATGAAATATAGATATTAAAGAGACTTTTTATATAATATTCATAAAGATTTTCCAAAAATATGATACCGCAAAATTAAAAAAGTGACGTCTTGAGTGGAGTCAAAGGTCGAAATTGCTAGCTAAATGTTTTTTAGCGAAATTGCGTATTGTACGTTTTTTTCGCAAAACGAAACCCTTAATCCTTACTGAAATGAGATTAATTGTAGTCAAAAAATAAAAAATAAATTTATTCGAAGATAATATATGCCTGACAGTATGACGATACATTAATCCATTGTGTTGTGAAAAAGGATTTAAAGTCAATGTATAAGAATAAGTTTATTGTCGTAATAGCAAGTATTCTACAAATTTATAGCTCTTGCTGAATATTAGGAGAAGCAAGAGCAGGAATAGAATTGGTAATTCCATTTAAGATTCGTTGAAGTGTTGAATCAAAATTAGGATCTGATACTACACCTTTGGAACCGCATTTATTAATAATAACTAAATGATATTCCCCTTTTAGTATAAATGTAAATATCCTACTCTGATGACAAAATAATCTAAAAGATTTAACTTTTGTTTCATCCGTTCGCCATACTGAATTAAGTTTTCCTACCGCATTTTCACCCATTTGAATATACTCTTTGATGCTACCTAATCTCTCTTTCTGTTCATTGCCAAATTCTGGACTCGACGAATAATTAAATATTTCTCCCCATTTGTCATCGAATATAATTGAAAAAACTTGATCTTTGAAGAGTTTGACTATATCACTACCGCATTTTTCTAGTTCGGCCCGGTCAATCTTTTCAAGATTCTGGGCATCTCTGTTACAGTTACACATTTTGAATTTTTTCTTGCTTTTTGATAAAAAAAAATAATTTAAAAACGACCCATCAGGATAATGTAGAAATTGAATTCTTTATACAGTGTTGAGAGAAATTTCCCATAGAAAAATACCCCAAATCCATGAAAATTAAAATTCAATATTTTCGTTTCGAGCGATCAAACAAAAAAGTTATAAAATATTGCTTGCTATAACTATGGCTTTTAAAAATTCGGCATTAGAAATAAGCAGAATTAGAGGAAAATTACAATATTGCTTGATTTTTTGGGAGTCAGAGCTCATACAAGGTTGTCGAAAAAAGTTTTGAAAGGACAATAATCAAAACTTTTTTCGACGGGTAATGTTGCATGACTCGTGTTTAAGAAATGATCTCGATATTATTTGATTCTAAACTTCAGGAGTGATTTAGTGTTTCAATAGATCAATCTTTTAGAAATACTTAATGTATTATCTCTTGTGTTGGTAACATATTCTGGAGGATTTCATATTGTGCCGAACGTTTAAAGATTTCAAAAATGGCGGAAGAGTTTCAAAGAATCCTCGAAGAGTTTGGAAAAGGATTTGAATTCTTATCTAAGTATGAAAACAAGGATAAGAATTTTGTTAACAATTCTTTGCTGGCTGATTCAGATTTCACCCAATTCCAAATTATTTTATCTAATCTCAACGAAAATTGGCCTAAAGTCAAGAAAATAGCTTTAATAGGAAATGGAGGATCTCATAATGAACTTGTTGAAACTGCATCAAGATTAAACGAACAAATGGATTTACTATCTAAGGCTCATTTAAGGATTGCATCATTAGAAAAAGGTATTTCATCGCAAGAAGCTGAAAATGCAAAACTTACTCTCGAAATTCTTGAATTACAAAAAAAGTTAGATGAATCTGGAAAAGATTCAAACAATGCTGCATCACAGATTACAATATTACAGCAAAAGATTACATCCTTAGAAAAGGAACTTGCTGCCTCACAACAAGAAATATCGATTTCCAAACAAAAAATTAACCAACATCTTGAAATTGCATCGACAACACAGACTGAGATTACGAATGTGCAATCAAATCTACAAAAACAAGTTGATGAGAACAAGAAACTTCAATCGGATATTGAAAAACTGATTAGTCAACTTGATAATATTAAAATTGAGAATAAAACGTTAAAAGAAGCTCAACAAAAGAACGAATTGACTATATCTGACTTAAAGCAAAAGATTAACTCTGATGCTGATGAAAAGATGCGTCTTAACATGAGAATTACGGATTTAGAAAACGAACCTAACAGACCAAATGTAGTTTTACTTCAAGAAGATAAAAATCACCTTATATCAGTTAATGAACAACTTAATTCTCAGTTAGAGAAAGCATCAAACGAAAATAGAAACTTAACTACTGAAATTTCTTCAAAGAATGCAACAATAGAGACTCTCACACAAAAATCTAACGATTTGCAGCAACAAATCGAAGAAATAACTAATAAATGCAAGGAATTGAAGACAGAACTTGTTGAAAAAGAAAAAGTAATTTCCATATCAAAATCTCAAGCTGAAGAAACGGAACAAAAACTTAATACTCATCAAAGAACATCAGAAAAGTATATGGAAATCATTTCCAAGTCAACCAATGTTTACAATCAACTTTTTGATTCAATTGAACAATTATCTAATTCTTTTAATGCTAAAATCAACGATATAGAAGATCAAATTGACTTAATTGATCCAAAGATTAACAAATACAAAGCAAAACAAGCCCAAATTCTTGAAGTTGCATTGAAAGAAAATAGAAGTTCAAAGAAACTGCTTAAATATGCAATAGAAAGTATTTCTAAGATGTCTGAAATGGAAGATAATCAACCAAGTTTAGAAGATGTCTTGAAAGACCCTCAAACCTTAATTAATATGGTTGAAATGACAACAAAGTCCGTAACCGATTTGAGATCAACTTCCATTCATAAGAGCTATAATACTCAACTAACATCTTCAAGAAATTCAAGCTCTGTTTCAACTTCTGTTGCTTCAATGAGTGATTTAATGCAATTAATTAGCGCTCAAATGCAAGAAGAGCATGAGGAGCTAATGAGTGTTATAGGTGATACAGAAGCCCCTACATTTCGTTCTGTAGTCTCTCCAAGAAAATAATTATTTTCTTTTTCTATTTATTTGTTTAAAATGTTATTATATTTATGTAATAACTGTATTTTTGTTAATATAATCTGTTATTTCAACTAAAATTCGATAATTATCCTGTTCGAGGTTATATCTTTAGAGGATTTTAGCTTATGGCAAGTAATTTTGTTGTTGTCATTCGTACTGAATGCTATTGTTAAGATTCCAAAGGCACAAATAAACAATTTTATCAAGAAAATAATTTTGTAGCAAGGATATTTTGGAATTTTCGATAAAATATTGATTCTTATATATAATAACATGTAATCGAGGATGTCACTTTTTCAAAAATTAGCCAAATCGATCGCAAGGGGTAGTTCTCAATTTGAAAGTATTTCAATGTGCAGGAGTTCTTAATTTATCCAATGCATTCACAAATAAAAATCAGTTCATTTTTAGAAAGAGTCTTCAGTATGGACGTTCTCTCCTCAATCGAAGCAAGAAGAACAATCAGAGAATATGATCATAACTATGTCATCCCAAAGGAACACATCGAAGCCATTGCAAACCATGCATTGATGGCTCCATCTGCATGTGGCTTCCAAGGATGTGATGTTTATGTAATCCAAAACCCAGAAATTGCTGCTAAAATAGAGCAGAAGTCTCTTGAATCAGTTGATCCAAAAGCAGTTCCATTTTTCAAGAAAAGATATGAAGAACTTGGCGTTAAGAACTGTATAACATGTGACTGCCAAGCATTCTTCATGGTTGTTAAAAACGAGCGTGCTGACGAAAGATACGTGTATGTTGATGCTGGCATTATGGCAGAGTCAATCATGCTTGCAGCTGTCAGCCTTGGTTATGTCACAATGCCAGTTGGCGCTGTAATGTACTCAGATCTCTCTGATACACTTCCAGTAAAGAAGGGAGATATCATTATGGCTGTCGCAGTTGCAAAGGGTGTCGAGCATCCAACAATTCCACCAAAGCCAATCAAAGCTAAGGTCCACTATTACTAAACATAATAAATATTATACTTTAATGATTTTTTTTAATATTCAAGTGCAAATATGATTACAAATGAGAGATTAGAACATTTCACTATACTATCACTCAGATTGAGAACATCCAAGTGATTTCATATCCCTTGTAACTGAATAATGATGGTTCATAAGTGAGTTATATTTCAGGAATAATGATGGTTCATAATTTGTATAGATTTTATCATAAAACGATAGTATTATTCTTTAGGAGACTGGGTATAAACAAAAATTCATTGTTACGTCTGAGATGAGTCAAAATTTTCTTAGTTTTCAATTGAGTCAAAATATAAAATGTCAAGCGAAGATTATGGAATCATTCCTATCGAGAATTCACCAGAGATGCTAACAAAGATGGCAGATTCTATTGGTGCTGATACATCAAAGTTCACTCTTTCAACTATCTATTCTTTTGATGAAGAAATTCTTGCCACAATTCCTCAACCTATCAAAGCTATCATATTATTATTTCCATTTGGAAAAGAAAATAGTCCAATAAGAACACGCCATTCTGGAGAGAAAGTGCCAGAAGGGGATTTACCTTATTATACTAAACAAAAAGTACAAAATTTATGTGGTACTATTGCATTAATTCACGCAATTTTGAACAATTTAGATATTATCCCATTGAAAGCAGATTCAATTCTCGACAAATTTTATAAACATACAAAATCTTTGACTCCTGATGAGCGTGGTCTTGAACTTACCAAAGAAAAAGAACTGTTTGCAATACATAACGCCATATCTAATGCTTCAAATGGAGCTCAAGAAGGAGAAAAAGCTTTAACTCATTACTCATGCTTTATTGAGCATGCCGGCCACATTTGGGAGCTTGATGGAAGACTTTCAAACATGGTTGACCATGGAGTTTCTTCTAATTTTGCTACCCAAGTATTTCAAATAATACAAACCGAATTCATCGACAAACTTGAAGGAATGGAAAAGTTTATGTTAGATGTTGTAGCTCTTTCGAAAATTTAAAAGAATTGTTATATTTTTAGATAAAAAATCAAAAATAACATGAAATAATCATGCCAAGTACTATTTTCTAAACAAATTACAAATTAATGTATTTATTTCGATTAAATCTACAATATAATAAAATTTGCCAATAATTTTTCTATTAAAAGACTAAGAAAGTAATATATACCTTTATTTTTCTGATTCATTTGCTGATTGATGACGTAATTGTTTCAATGAGTAAAGATTTTGACTTTGAATTTCAAATTTAGTATAATTTTGTAAGTTTTTTCTGTTGATTAGATAAGCATTTGTATGAAATTGTATGATAATTTACAAATTTACTAGCTCAATATACCTCTAGTCTTTCTTTCTCAAGTAACTTTAGATATTTACGAAAATCCATTTAAAAAAAGTCACGTGTAATTTCATTGTAGATTCGCAAGCATGTACTATTTGTTTCTAGCATATAGTTCTTTGGCAATAAGCGAGGATAATTAAGATTATGTACTCCAGTTATGAAATTTTAAACGACCACTTTTTTTGCCCTATGGAAGCGGGAAATATTGCCGATGTTCTTAAATCGCTTATGGGAACTATAGGAAAGCCAATTGGATCCAACGAATATCCAAAATATCATATGGATTATCAGATTGCTAGCGAAATGAACTTTTTAAATATTCATTATCCAGGAATCTCACAAGAAAGAATGAGAGCATTTGAAATAGGTAACAAAGCAGACAATGCCTATCTCTCAGGTAACACTAAAGATGCTACAGAAATGTGTTGGAAGGCAATTTCACTTGATGGAAACGCTTGGGATGCTTATAGAGTTCTTGTTCGTTCACTCGAAACATACATTGGCGATGATCATCTTACAATGATCATGGCTGGTCGTGAACTCGTACGTGTTGAACGTGAAATTTTCAAAGACATTTTAACAATGGACAACAAAGATTTTTACAAATATAGTATGGGTAGACCATACATCAGATTGCTTAGCAACATATCATCATTCTCGTTTGACGGAAAATACAACGATGTCCACGTAAAAGCTTATGAAGAAAATTTAAGAATAAATAGATACGACAATACCGAAGTACGCTCACCATTACTCATGGCTTACTTGAATTGCGCCATCGTTAACAAATATCACCTTAAAAATTACGGAATTTGGCCAGAAAGAACAGAAAATCATATTAACGCCATGTTCAAAACGCCGTTACTCCCAGATATGAGAGAAGGCTGTTGGGGAGATAATTACAAGAATGATACCCTTTATACTTGGTATCAAATTATTTTTAAGTATATGAACAAAGATCCTTCATGGGTAAACTTGGTCAAACGCGAAGACAAGCAAAATCCAAAGCTCCTGAAGGCCCTTTTAAGCGAAGAAGAGTTCGAAGGCGATATAATTGACCCAATGAACAAAAATCCAAAGCTCCTGAAGGCCCTTTTAAGCGAAGAAGAGTTCGAAGCCGTCCAAGTTGAAAATACATTACTTTCACCTGTTATTTACCGTGTACCAAACTTTATGGGCGATTTATTCAAAGCTGTCCGAAATAAACCAATTTATAACAGAGCTCAAAAAGATATAGCAGCATTACTCTACGGTATGGAAGAAATACAGCCAAACTGGAAGGCTAAAGCAGAAAAAGCCCTCAATGAAGCAAGAGAATTGATGAGAAATCGTCAATTCATGAAAGCCATTGAAAAACTTTCAGATGCAAAGAAATACTATAATAGAAGTATTTATCCTTCAATGCATATTGAAAATTCCGGAATTCCCTTCGCCATCTTTTCAAATCGTGCACAATCTGCTTTCCAAGTTGGCAGATTTGATCTCGCAAGGTTTGATGCTAGAATGGCACTTTATTTGAACCCGAAGATCCCTCACATCTACAAGATTCTTCCTTTAATTGCCGAAAAATACTATTGTCCGAAATCCAAAGAATTTCTTGCCCAAATCGCAAACGAGGCCACTCAAGAGCACATAGACGAAGAGTGGAAGGAACTCTCAATGAAGGCAATAGGAAGACTCGGAATGAAAGCATTAATTGGAGAAAGAGTTGGATTTTCTGCAAAATTAATCGAAGCTGAAACAAAAAGAGGCTTCGAAGACATGTTTGAACCAATTTCATTCAAACCAAAGGAATTCGAACTTCTTCCTTGGCTTACTGAGAATGATATTGAACAAGGTGTAATTTAAATATATATATAATAAAAAATTCTATTGATTATGTTAATTTTTTTACAATTTGACATTCTCTCTATTAGAGTTGTTTAAAGTGGCACAATGTAAGAGGAAATAAGTCATTTACAGTTTGTTCATTCTATAATAATTGACATTTTAAAATATGATATTATTTATCAAATTGTTATTCTCTCTATTAAAGTTGTTTCAAATGGCACAATGTAAGAGGAAATAAGTCATTTACAGTTTGTTCTTTCTTTGTTCTTTCTATAATATGAAATATTTTTAGTGTTAGTTTCTTTGTGGTATTGTGTACATATATAATTGGAAAGAAATAAGAATTATGACAATGTTTCAAAGATGTTCTCATTCAATATCATAAAGTAATTCCGAAAAATCCTTTAATATCGAATATATTACAGAATCATTGGTCAGTTTATGACCAGTAAATGGTAATTAAAGTATTTAAAGTTATAGTCCTTAAAATATCTCATTGATTTTTTGTTCGGAATTTTTTCAAGCAACGATAATATTCAAGTCCTTAAAAGTGAACGTTTCGAGATGATAATTTAAAAAGATAGATAAAGTTTAATATACAAATAAAAATAATATAAGATTACTCACCAAGGTGTTGAAGAGCGATTTCCTTCTCGTGGAAGAGATCGTTCTCTGTGAAGTTGAGCTTCTCGCGGAGCCAATCGTTGACTTTGAATCCTTCAACAACGTGGATCTTTCCTTCCTTGTCAACATTGCAAGGGAATGAGAAGACAACGCCTGGCTTGATGCCGTATGGGTTATCCTCTGGAACTGGGATACCCATTGAAAGAACTTCTCCTGGAGCTGTTCCGAAGAGCCAAGCTTTCATGTGTTGGATAGAAGCCTTTGTTGGGGAAGCAGCACTTGTGAAACCACGATGTTCGAGGATGTCCCAAGCACGATGTCCGATCTTCTTGAAGAAAGTATCGAAGACGTAATCGTGATCAAGAACATCGACAACCTTTTGTGTCTTTCCGTCCTTTGTGAATGTAGCTTGTGTGAGATCAGCAACCATTGATTCACCATGGTTACCCCAAACAATGATATCATGGACATCATGGATATCAACTCCTAATTTGGAAGCAACTTCGTAGTAAGCGCGGTTATGATCAAGCATACTGAGAGATGAGAAGTTCTCTGGTTTGAGGTTCTTTGCATGGAGCATAGCGATTTCGCAGTTTGTGTTATCTGGGTTTCCAATAACAAGAACTTTGACTGTTGGCTTGGCCCACTTTGATAAGTATTCACCAGTGTTCTTGAAGATAACACTGTTTGAGCTGATGAGGTCAGCACGAACTTGGCCTGGCTTAAGTGGCATTGAAGCAACTAAGAAAGCGCATTCAATATCCTTGAAAGCAGCTTCTGGTTCTGTAGTAGCAACATATCCTGCAAGGCGTGGGAATGCACAGTCCTCTAATTCCATTGTAAGAGCTGTAAGTCTGTTCATGGCTGGTGGAATATCGAAAAGATGTAAAACAACTGGGCGATCACCGTAAAGCTCGCCTCCTGCTATCCAATGAGATAGGATATATCCGATTTGGCCTGCAGCACCGGTAATGAGAACATGAGCTGGTTCACTCATTTCGAAAAATGAGTACAAGTTATCCCTCAGAATTGTTGGCCTCCCAAGAATACAAAAATTCTGAAGTCTTTCAATCTTGTATTGTTCGAAAACAAATTGAAAATATCCCTTTTCAATTCAAATTTTGACTCAAAATTTAATAATTTAGCGAGTCATCTCAAATTAAGCAATTATCCAAACCACGATTATGATTAAGTGATCACAAAGCCATTGAATTTTTTGATGGATATCGGTTAAAATTCATACAAAATATAGACTTAACAAATATGATATTATTAAATATTTTAAAAGATATCAAATAAAAAACAGAAAATTTCCTACACCATTTCAATCGAGCTTTCGGTTTCTCCAAAATGGTTCAGGACCTTTTATGCATACAATCTCAAAATTGCATCCTTGATGCAAGAGAGGTGAATTTTGGTTCTCTTTTTGGATATTCTCCAATATCTAATTACAATCCTCAATCAAATGAGGAAAAGTAATGCATTGCCTGATGCACATCTGGATTTATAGCATATATTAAGCCTTTCATTATGATTTTAGTTTTTATTCAAATATTCAGATAAAGATAATTTTAATACGTTTTTGAAATTACTAATATGATATGATGCTAAATGTGATGAATGGTATGGGAGATAGATTAGAATTAGTAAGATTTTTGATTTTTTTGAAGAAAGATTAGGATCAAATCAAGAAAATAGTTCAGAAAAAAAATAAATTGAAGCAGATTATTCTTAATTTTGGTATATTTTCAAAATTAATGATATTTGAAATCAAAATATTTGAATTTTTAGCCAAATTCTTTTACATCTGGTATCAACTCAAGATGCTAAAAGCAAATTCATCTTCATTAGAAGGCGTGTGAATTTATCCGTTTTCCGAGTGATCGAGATTAACCGTATTTTTTAGAGCAAAATATCAAAACTCTATTAAATCGGCAATAATTAAAAAACTAAAAGTTGCTACATTCAAAAAATAATTTGAATTGAGAAAAACGTAAAAAATTGAAAAGCTTCCGAAAAGCAATATTATCTTAAAAGTTTGATAACATCTCTTCGTATAATCTCTTATTAGTATTAACGATAGAATAAATTTTATTCTCAGAAAATTTTCATTTTTCAGAAATCTCGTTTACGTTATTTTAACTCTCAATCAACAAAAAATGAAATACATTTATATTAATTTATAATAGTTATAAAAATATATATTTACATTAAAATCTGCTCTTCAATTGAAATCTAAAACATACCATTGGACAACAAGTTATTATCAATTAATTTAGCATCAATATAAAATATAAATTATTCAATGTCAAAAAATTCTGAATTTTACTCTCAATTATCGATTATATAACTCGATTATTATGTTTCATTTCATCAGATTTTTAATTTTTTCTCAATTTTAAATATGAGAAAAATCTTATTTTCAATTTTGTACAGAATTCAAAAAGTTTTTTTGACTAATCAATTAAATTTTTCATAATTCTGACCAAATTGACCACAATGAGCTCCATCTTACCAAATCATGGATACCAAATCTTATCTGAAATTGATTCTGGAAAATTCTCGCATTGTTACCTCTGTAAGAGCCTCAAGTACGAAACAGAATTTGTTTGTAAAGTTATTCATGCTCTTGATAAAGAATTAAAAGAAAATTATCGTGCTACATTCAAACAGGAACTAACAGTACTTTCAAACTTCATACATCCAAATATTATCGGTGTTTACGATGCCTTCGAAGAAGGAGATGATTATGTACTTGTTTTAGAATATTGCGAAAATGGAACTCTTCAAGATAAAGTCTCCAACAATGCCACTCTTGAGCCCGAGCAAGTAATAAATTATGCAAAGCAAATATTGAGTGCTCTCAGTTACATGCATGATAAAAATGTTGCTCATCATGATGTGAAACCATCAAATATTTTCATTGACAAATTTGGAAGAATCAAATTGGCTGATTTTGGAATAGCTCAATCGTTTGCAGAGAACCAATCCAAATCATGTATTTTTGGTGGAACTGTGGCTTTTATGGCACCCGAACAGTTCAAAAAGCTGCCATACTCAGCTTTTCAGTCTGATATTTGGGCCTTTGGCGTAACTCTATATACCATAGCTTTTGGAAGACTTCCATTCTTTGGTCATAATGTTCATGAAGTTATAAGTAACATTTGCACAGGAGTTTACTCATTACCAAGCCATTGTCCAAAAGAACTCAGAACAGTTTTCCAACACTCACTCGATCCAAATCCAGAAACAAGATGGACAGCGAAGAAGCTTCTCGAATCATTAAATATGTCTACAAGCTATTCCACACTAGTTAAACGTCCAAAAATTTCCAATCAAAAATCAGTTCCAAACTCATTATGGCTTCAAATGCCAAATTTGGCTGCACCTCCTACTCAATCCAATCCTAAAACAAAGCCAACTCTTGTTATTCCTAGAAGGACAAGAAGGAACTCTGGCTGTATATAATATTTATGTTATATTGTTTGTTATAAATTTTTATTTAAGTTCAAATCTATCTTAACTTTTTATCTTATATTGCAAATCCGACTCTAATATCTAAAATTTGAAGACAATTTTAGTACAATTACACAAAATCTGCTTTAAACAATGTAGTATAATGCAAATACGTATATTTATTGTCTCAAAATGCTTGCTTATAATAGATAATAGTTATATTACTAACAAAGGCTGTTTCTCTATATAGTATTATATACTATATTTGATAGTAAAATATTAGTGATTTATAATTTTGGAAAATATACTTCTTTTCTATATCATTGAAAAATAATTATTTGAATCTGCTGTGAAATTGACATATCTTAGTAGTAAAATTATATAATAGCAAAAATTAAAAGGCCTCAGCGATTTAGAACACAATAAAAATGTTTTGTTTCTCTCTAAATTTTAAATTTTCAACATTTTTAACTTCATTTTTCCAAAAAAAAATGAGAATTGATAAAAACGTTCTCAATTTCTAGAAAGTTATCTCGGCATTTTCTAAAATGGAAAAAATTTGGAGGATTTCACCAAGGAGAACTTCATTCTAGATGTCCAAAACAATTGCATTCAGTCAATAAAGCCTCGAAAATTTTAATTATTGATATCGATTTTCATCAATAACTTAACATCAGTTGTTTACAGTTGATATTATCTTATATTATTAAATTTTAATATATTTGAACATACTATAAATCGTTTTTGAAACTTATCAAAATTTCAAGCATTTTAACAATACTCCAACTATCATACACAGTCACCATTACCGCAATCTCATTTTAAGAAGAAATGATTAATAAAATCTAAGATCTAACGATTTATTTACTCAATTCGAAAAATATTTTTAATTATAAATCCTTTTTTGTGCATGTTTTATATACATATGTAGAAAGAAAAACAAATAAAGTGTTACTTCAAAAAATACCTGGAAGTACCCTAATCAATAAAAAATTTACTTTTTTAGCATCGAATTTTGTACGTCTTGAGCCATGTTTTTCGTTTGATTTTCATAATACTATAAAAATAATGCGTTATCAAGTAAAATATGGATATTTTAGGAGATCATTTGATAATCATTCAACACTTTCAAGTAAGATTGAATCGTTTGGATAAAAAAAAGAATAATTAAATCACAACATGATGAGAGATTGTTATTTTTTATTAATTTAATTTAGAATGAACTGAATACCCTTCGTTTCCATGAATTTCCGGATAAGGTTATTTTTCCCGATCGAAAAGTGCTAATAACTCTCTATTTATTGTGTATTTTTAAAATATTTTAAGTTATTATCTGTCCATAGCCTATAAAGTATAATCTATGCTATTTTGAAAGATTTTGGAAGGGGTAACGGCGTCGAAATTGCATAATTTGAGCTACTCATAATTCGGTATTGTTGATTATTAAGTATGAATAACTGAGGCAAAGCTTGATTATATTGGTAAGTTAAAAAACAATAGTTTTTAGAATTTAGATAGTAAAGGTTTCAAACTATAGCATAATTGTTTGGAATCTTGAATATTGGCAGTATACCAAGAATAAAATTGCATGCATTTATCTTCGTAATGAATATTAAAAGTACAAATCGATGATGGTGCCTTGAATTTTATTATTTGCAATGTCTAAAAAAGTTCTACCAGAGTTATCTTTATGATTTAAATTAGACCTTACAGAAATAAGATATTCAACAACACGAAGATGTCCTTCATATGCTGCAGCGAATAATGGAATCCAACCATCACAATTTGGTTCATTTACATCAGCTCCCAATCGAACAAGATAATCAACTACATCGTAACGGCCCCGAACCGATGCGATAAAAAGCGGTGAGATTCCTCGATTATTCTTTATATTTTTATCAGCTCCCATAGAGATAAGATATTTAACTACCGCAAGATGGCCATTATTTGATGCCCAGTAGAGTGGGGTGGCTCCAATATCATCTTTTACTTCTTTATCAGCTTCAATAGAGATAAGATATTTAACTACATCAAGATTACCCCCATTTGATGCACAAATAAGTGGAGTACGTCCACCATCATCTTTTGCTTCTTTGTTACTGCCACATTTAATTAGAGATTTTACAAGTCCGAGATTTCCTTTTCCTGAAGGTTCATGAAGTATATTAAATCCATATTCCTTTTGTTTCATTTTATCTAACCCTTCTTCGCATGCCTTTGATATCATTTCTTGATTATCTTTTGATGAAAGATCTTCAAAGAAATCATAGCATAAATCTGTATAAGAGTATCTTTTGAATCAATCTCGCTATTAAGCTCCATGATTTTATCTTCCATTTTTATCAATAATTTGTTTTTTTCTTCCTTTTCAGTATTGATGCACTCTACTTGTGATTCAAGTTCTTTAATCCTACATTGAAGAAATTGAATATAATTTGATGAATCTTTCATTTTTATATCTAATTGGCATAAGTATTCTATTATACTATCAAGGAATTTCATAGATGTACATTTTCTAACTGATTTTAGAATTGATATAACATCTTGAAACGTTTCTATGGAAACATTAGCTTTCAGTGATAGAGCACATAAATGAACCGAGTTTTCAATAGTAGATAATTGTCCTAGAATATCTATGTAATCATTTGGCGCAAAATTTATATGATTAAAAATCATTTCAAGGTCTTTGGGATGAAAAATGTGAAATAAATAATTATCGTATATATACTCCTTTATATGGGCTACAATGTACTCTTGATCAAGAACAAGATCGTTATCCATTAATCAGAATTGAAGGAATTCACAGATAAAATAGATAAGCCATGAGCCCTTTCAAAAACTAATGACACATCACTTCATTTTCGACAAACAAAGAATATTTAGTTGAATATTCCAAATAAGACACCATAAAATACCTTTCTAGAAAGTATAAAAACGCTTTATATATGAGTTCTTCTAATAAACATTAATAATTAGAGAATATCTCCATAATCAACGATCAAACAATATACAACATTGCATATGGTTGGAATGTAAATATCACACTTCTCGCCTAATGTGTCTTTTTGCATTATTGAATAAAATTTTCATTCATTTCTATCGGGGTGCTCCGAGCGCAGATAGAAATGAATGAAAATTTTATACAAACACCTGGACTCATTTATCATTTTTACTAAAAATCGATAATCTGATTATAGTTTTGTTAATCTTTGATTATTCTTTCAAGCTTACAACAATCTATCATAAATTAAACCATATCTATCGCCAAGATCGTACCAATTTTACTGGAAATAGATCAAAATCTAGCTGTTCATGGAATTTTATACAACTATTCATTGAAATTTATAAAATTCCAATGATGGTGTTGCTTGATATGCAATCAGTTTCCAATGGCCGAATTTTCCATTGAATTATCGTGTTTGACCCTAAAATTTTCTAAAATTTTGAAATGTTCATAAATGCTCCAGCACTTAAAAGGCAAGAGAACTCATTCAAAATCATTCACAACAAAACAGAATACTCAGTAGATCCAATTAAAATGGCCGAAAACTCAAAATTTTTTGCAGAAAGCCCTCAACCACGTCAACGAAAAGATCGTCCAGTTCGATTGGGGCTGCTTCGGCCGCGATCAACAAGTTGTTCTCGCTTTCCTCGCTATGTCAAAGGTCATTGAACAAACAAACAGTCCGAAAATTACAGAGGAGCAGCTCTTGGCCGCTGCCAAAGAGCTCAATTCCGCTCATAAAATCGTTGATGAGATTGATGAGAAGCTCTTCAAGTTGTTCGCTATGGGAACAGAGTCCGTCATCTCCCCAACATGCGCCGTCTTCGGTGGCATTGCTGGCCAGGAAGTTCTCAAGGCTGTTTCCTCCAAATTTACTCCAATCGACCAATTCCTCGGTATCGGCTACATCGAGGCCCTTCCAACAGAGCCAAAGATCGCTTTGACAGGCGACCGCTACGATCCATACCGCATGATTTTCGGAAATGAGCAACAGGAGGCCATGCAGAACCTCCGCTACTTCATGCTCGGTGCCGGAGCTCTTGGCTGCGAGATGCTCAAGAACTGGGCCATGATGGGCGTCGCTACAAAAGGAAATGGCGGAGTCATCGTCACAGATATGGATTCCATCGAGCGCTCTAACCTCAACAGACAGTTCCTCTTCAGAGACAAGGATATCGGCAAGATGAAATCAACAGCAGCTGGAGAAGCAGCCAAAGTCATGAACAAAGACATCAAAATCGAAGCCCATACAAACAGAGTCGGAAAAGAGTCCGAAAACATTTACAACGACGATTTCTTTACACAATTGTCCGGAGTTTGCAATGCTTTGGATAATGTCCAAACACGTCTTTATTCCGACCAACAGTGCGTTTTCTACAAGAAGCCAATGCTCGAGTCCGGTACTTTGGGCACAAAGGCTCACTACCAGATGATTATTCCATATCTTACAGAAAGTTACTCATCAACAGCCGATCCACCAGAGAAAGATATTCCACAATGCACATTACATAACTACCCATCCAACTTGGACCACTGCTGCATGTGGGCTCGTGATATTTTCACTGGATTGTTCGAATCAATGCCAACATCGATCAACAAGTACATTACGGACGAAGACTACATCTCTACAATGCAGGTCAATGACCCAGGAAGCGTTTTACCAACACTCAGAACGATCAAATATTTCATGGTCGACCACCATCCAAAGAACTTCTCAGATTGCGCCAGAATAGCTCGCGGCAAGTTCGAAGAGCTCTTTGTCGACAAGATCAACGAGTTACGCACACAATTCCCAAGAGATTACGTTTCTGAGACAGGTGTTCCATTCTGGACCGGAAACCAGAGATTCCCATCCCCAATCTCCTTCTACAAGACCAATGTTGAGCTTGGCAACTTCATCCGCTCTACATCTCAGATTCTTGCCCGCATTTTCAACATCAAACCAGAAGGAGATGCCGTAGAACTTGCTTTTGCCAACGAAGCAATCAAAGCCACAGCTCCTGTCCGTGATGCATCAGCAGATCCATTGACACAAGACGAAATCGAGAAAGAAAACCTCATCAAGGAACTTTCCGCAGCCAAATCATCCTTCCACAAGGTCAACCAAGAGGAATTCGAGAAGGACGATGACTCAAACGGCCACATGGACTTTGTTGCCTCAGCAGCAAACTTAAGAGCATCAAACTACGAAATCCAGAACGCATCCAAATTAGAGATCAAGAGAATTGCAGGAAAGATCATTCCAGCCATTGCCACAACAACAGCAATGATCTGTGGATTTGTCTCTCTCGAGATGTACAAGATCCACTCAATTCAGCCAAAGAAGTTGACTGATTTCAGATCAGGATTCATCAACTTGGCATTGAGTTTGTTCTCTATCTCAGAACCAGGCGAATGTCCAAAGAAGAAATGCACTGCAACAAATGAGGAATACTCACTCTGGACAACATGGGATATCGAGGGAGATGTAACTGTTCAGGAGTTCATCGACCAGGCAAAGCAGAAATACAACGTTGTTGTTGATATGATCACTGTTGGTTCTTCCCTTGTTTACATGAGTTACATGAATCCTCCTGAGAAGAAGAAGCAGAGATTGAACACTAAGATTACTAATATTTTGAAGAATGAACTTAAACAGCCGATCAATGAGGGACAGATCTATGTAAATGTTACACCTGTTTGTGTCGATGAGGATGATAACGAAGTAGAAACACCTGCTTTCCGTATAGTTCTTAAGAAGTAAATTTAAATAAAATAATCATTTTTTTTTAATAAAATTCATCTTTTTTTTAAGGGTGCACTTACCACTTTCTGACAAGCTATGAAAAAATCAAATATATCTTTATTTTAATAGCAGAAAAGTATAGCAGCCATATTAGGCACTATATGTGATTTGTATTTACTTTCTCCTGGCCAAAAATATTAACTTTTGACCTTATAATATTGGGATAGAAAGCTTGAGTGTCAAAAAATTGAGAGAATGTCAGAAAGTGGGAAGTGCACCCTTAAAGAAATTTTTTCTGATATTCTCTCATAAAATTAATGACAAAAAACACTACAGCAATATTAGGTATTATCCGGACCAAAAATGTCAGAAAAATAATTGAGAGAATGTCAGAAAGTGGAAAGTGATCCCTTAAAGGTGCAATTACCTCCATCTGATTACCAATTCAAATTTTTGACAACTGGCGTGAAGCGTCATTAAAAATTAATTTTAAATATCTGAATTGAATGATATGTCATTCGAGCGTAAGTGCATACTTAAGGGATCACTGCCTTAGTTTACAACTATTCAATTTTTTGCACTTAAATGTTCTTTTTCTCTATGATAGAATTGATATTTATATGAATAAACATAATCATACCCTATTTTTTTTTTCACTGTTTCAAAATCTATAAAATATCTCAGGAAGAAGACTCAAAAGATAGTGATTCCTGAATCTTTTTATTCCTTTATTATTCTGTTATTGCATGAATAAATGCTTGATTTTGAAACAAAGTTTTTCCACTTCAAAAATATGTTTAAAAAATCAGATTTTAAAAATTTGAATGAAATTATGATTGAGTTACTTGGCACCGATTTTTTGTAAATATTTTTTGACATCATCACGTGCCAACGTCAGGGCAGTTTTCCCTTCATCAGTCTTTGCATCCTTATTTGCTCCAATAGAGATTAGATATTTGACAAGTTCAAGATTGTTATAAAGTGATGCATAAATAAGTGGAGTATATCTAAATTTATTTTTTCCTTCTTTATTAGCTCCAACTGAGATGAGATATTAAACAACTTCAAATTGACCATACATTGTTGCAGCTATGAGTGGGGTATCTCCATAATTATTCTTTACTTCTTTGTCACAACCGCATTCAATTAGTGATTTAACAAGTTTGAGATTTCCTGTTTCACATGCGACATGAAGTACATTCTTCGCAATAACATTTTGATCTTGAGGTGTCTTCTTTTCCCAAAGTCCTTCTTCACATGCCTTTGACAGCAATTCAAGTTCTCCTTCTGTAGAAAGTTCATCAAGGAAATCATAAACACTTGCAAAATCATTAGAATGCTTTAGCTCTTTGATTTTAGCCAATTTATCATTGAAGCTCAGACCCATGATTCGCTTTTAAAAAAAATTGATCAAACTGTATTGTTGAATTTTTTTTCCACCAAGAAATTTACCACCATGGTTTTTTCCCCCTCGAAAAAGAAAAAAAATTCAACATGGCTTCTAACAAATGAATGGTGCTTTTTTTTAGCAAAAACTTTGAATCAAAATCATTATCTAGAATAATGAGTCATCTAGATTACAAAACTAACTAACGAATATTAATTGTCATGTAAGAGTATTGGATAAGCATATTCAGGTATTTGTTTTACCTTTCTTTTTAAATTTATTCGTTTTATCAGATTTTAATCGAAGAATGTTTTAGCCCTTTCATCGCTTTGAGTGTTAATATATCCCTTTTCAAAGCAAATGAATCCAAAACAATCCGATAATAAAAGTAGTATATGTTGAAGGGTTGTGTGACTTTTTTTGTAAACGTAAGAATTCATACAATATTGAACGATTTTGTATCATTTTTTTTAACATATGAAGTAAAAAATGTATGATTCTTACGGTTTTTATTCTTACGTTTTTGAATAAATCAAGATTTAAAAAATTTTCAAAATTGTAAGACATTTACACTCAGCCCATACATAATGAAATAAAAAATAATTTTTTTAAAAAATAAACACATTAAAAAATTAACATTAATTTTAAAATAATTTATTTTGTTATCTTTTATAAAAGAAGCTATATATATAGATGATGTCAGATATTCCGCGATTAATTAAACATTGTTTAAATCCTGAATGGAATCAATGGAGTCATAATCAAAGACCTCATAAACGAGAAAAAGAAATTAGAAACTAATGATTATTTGAATTTATGAAATCAATTATTTGATTTATTCGCTCTTCAATAATTTCTATTCTTTTTGTTAAATCATCAATTTTCATTAATGAGGTGATTCTTGATTGAGGAATAGATTTCAAAAATAAAGTATTAACAGAAGAAGATATTGATGAATTATATAATTTATATAATCCTGAGCCGCAAAAAACAAAGGAACAAAAACCAAAGGTGCAAAACACCCAGGTCCTTCAGACCATAAATGATGCACAAGCTTTAATTTATGATTCATTAGTTAAACCATATTCAGCCCGACTTTTAAATGAAGATCAACTTTTGGAATTCATCCTTCAACATAAACTCGAAGCGGGAAAGTATATCAAACCTTTATATACAGCATATTTAAAACAAATGAATAGAATACATCCAGAATTAATGAAGGGGGGAATGAATTCCAAAACTTCATCATCCAAAATCAAAGCAGATAAAATTAAACCACTTGCAACACCAAAACCTCCAACGACAGTACCTCCTCCTCCTTCAGTTAATCCTTCATCATTCACTTTATTATATCCATTTCAAACATTAAAGAAGCAAAAAGATTTTAAAAAGGATTTCAAGATATTAAATAAACCAATTGACCCGAAAATTCAACCGTTAAAGGAAAAATTTAGTCGCCCTTCATTTGCACCATATCCATATTCATACGAAATCGATCATCTGGAATATTCAAAAGGAAACGTTACTTATTTATTTGCCATTAACATTAACACTAGATATTTATATTGCATTCCGGTGAAAGGGAAAACAGAACAGGAAACAAGAAGAGCTATTCAATACTTACTAGATCATGAAAGAGTAGATAATATCAGGGGTGATGGCGATAAAGGATTTCAGGCAGCTATGGCTCATTATTTCCCACAAATTAATTTTTTCTTTTCATCCTCTCCATATACGTTTCATAATAAAATAGTTGATGCGGTAATGAGAACTCTTAGAGATGCGTTAGGGGTTAACGGTCAGATATACTGGGATGGAAATCATGACTCCATCATACAACAGTTAGTATATTATTATAATAATACATGGCATAGAACTATAAACATGAAACCAGTGGAAATGAAAAATGATATTTCAAAAGAATGGGAATATATTAGAAAGCAAATGGAAAGGTTGAATGATGTTAAACGTGAACAAATTAATTCGGGGCTCATGAATTTTAAACAAGGGGATAAAGTTTTGATTCATCTCGATTATGGAAAAACTGATAAATCAATGACAAAAAGAAGACGAAGATTTGACACAATAGCTGAATTTGTTAGATATATTAACGGCAATGCATTAGTTGAAGTTGACAATAAATTAATAGAAATTCCGATTTATTTTATTACTCCATTATATTTAAATAATATTTAATTTTTTTTATTTCGTAAGAAATGAGTGACAACGAAGCAGTCAAGAGTCCAGACAATGAATATAAAAAGAAACTAAACAGAATTAAATCAAAAATATGCTATTACAAAAAGAAGCCACAATGCGGTGGGGTTGAAAACAATAAAACTAATGGAACTGAAAACGATAAAGAAATAATCGAAAAATTAGAAACTTACCGTTCAATCCTTAAACTGAGTGAAGCAAAAATAAAAGAATTTAATAGAATAAATAAATTGATTGGAAGAGATGAATTTAATAAAGATGAATTTTTAAACTCAATCCAAATTTAATTTTTATTCCTCTTTGACAACATCTCTCTTTCCATCATTACTGCATAACCGCATTTTCTCAATTTTAGTGGTTTGTTATTTTTAGCAAGTTCTCGCATCATTTTTATCGTTTCCTCCCTTGTTATGATTCGTGGTAAATTTTGAGCTTGTGGGGTATCCATTTATGATAAAAATAAAAATTTAAATTATGCCGTTCTAAAGTTTGTGACAACATGACATTTTGACAACATCATGGGTTATTCGATAATTAATTATTTTTGAAGAACTGAAGGGGTCACCAGGTCACTTAACTTCTCTGAAAAAATGTGACAACATGACATTTTGACAACATCATGGGTTATTCGATAATTAATTATTTTTGAAGAACTGAAGGGGTCACCAGGTCACCAGGTCACCAGGTCATTTAACTTCTCTGAAAAAATGTGACAACATGACATTTTGACAACATCATGGGTTATTCGATAATTAATTATTTTTGAAGAACTGAAGGGGTCACCAGGTCACCAGGTCACCAGGTCATTTAACTTCTCTGAAAAAATGTGACAACATGACATTTTGACAACATCATGGGTTATTCGATAATTAATTATTTTTGAAGAACTGAAGGGGTCACCAGGTCACCAGGTCACCAGGTCATTTAACTTCTCTGAAAAAATGTGACAACATGACATTTTGACAACATCATGGGTTATTCGATAATTAATTATTTTTGAAGAACTGAAGGGGTCACCAGGTCACCAGGTCATTTAACTTCTCTGAAAAAATGTGACAACATGACATTTTGACAACATCACAGGAGGAAGGCAAAAATAAATTCCAGTCATACTTTATAAAGCTTCATTCACAGGTATTTCATCGTCAGTAAATGATTCCTCATTATCGTTTGGTTCAATTTGTTTATATAATCCTTTCATTTCTTCTTTCAAAACATAATACCATGTTTGTTTACCATCTATTTTTCTTTGTTTCCTTTCACATTTATCCTTAATGCTCATTTGAAAGTTTTTGTCTTTCATGTCTGATGGTTTGCAGAATAGAGCATTTTTACACGTCATACCTGCACATAATTCATCATAATGTGTATTTATCCATTCATCTAAAGGATTTGTTGATAATTCAATTAAATCTTGTTTGGCTTCAGTCATTGGTATGATTCGTACATTAAATGATGAAAGGTCATATTGCATAAAATATGTTAAAAGGTTATCATAAAATTCCTTAGTGCATGAATCCATTAAATTCTTGAAGTAATCAAATTGACCCTTGAATTTACCATTAACTCTTAAAACTACGTATCTTCTGTCTCCAACTTCAATTTTGACAGGGTAGACGTTGTTAGTTACGAAAATGAAGTTTGCAACGTTCTGAGCAGTTCTTCTGGGTTGATTCTTTTCATTAATTCTAATCTCATTATCCGTAATAATTGATTTCAAAGCGTTGAAGTTTGCGAGTCTGTCTTCACCTACATTCTTGAGTTCATTAAGTACAAGAAACATTTTATTCTCAACTACTGAGTTGAAATTACCCGTTAGCTCACTTATTTCAGTAATGTTTTTACATGAATAACCAGCGAGAAGTTCAGAAATAATGTCTGTAAATCTGTTTTTACCTGTTCCCTGAAGTCCTTTCAAAATAATTGCTGTTTCATTCTTGATTCCAGGATGTTGAATCATTGATGCAATCCAGCCGAGAAGGTATTTATACACTTCATCGTTATTATCACAAATGGCTTCTTTAATGAAATTCATAAACATCTCAATTTTTGAGTAATCTACTTTTTCGAGAACGATGTATTTATAACCTTGAAACGTTGAGAAAACATCTGGGGAATCAGATTTAAAGCAAACACCCTTAACGGTTAATGAGGATAATTGATTTAATAGTACGTCCCATGCTGTTATGGTTTTACCTTCTTCTTTAAATAATTTAATCATTTTGAGTGACTCTTTTATGTTTGATTGAAGAACGAATGATATTTGATTCATTTTGTCGTGGATATTATAGTCCTTTTGAATGAAATATTTATTTCCACAATCTACAAAACGGATTACACGTGATAAATCCTCAATTACTTCAGAACTGTTTTTATACTGATGATTTTCAGCCTTGCGTCTAATATCTGTTATCAAAAACGAGTCATCAAGTTTGATATCAAATGTTATTTTTGGCTTACGTAATAAAGGTAAAACATATTCATCATAATATTCCTTTTGATAAAGTTTTAGAATCTTCACTAAAACAAATGGAGAAGTCATTAAATGTGCATATCTACTACGTGCTTTTTCAAAATTACTTTTTGCATTTTCAGTTAAATTGCAGAAGTTATAAACGTTATCGTATGCTTCATTAATTAAATGATTAGGTAACGAATTAATTGCTTGAAACAGTGTGAATAATGTAACTTCTTTTTCTAAATTCATGTTTCCACCGTCATTATGTACTTCAAAATCACAGATGCCATCAACTATGCTCTGGGCAAGTTTATCGTCAATGTTTACATCTTTGTTTTCATTCATGATAGTCTTTATTTCTTCGTTCTTCTGTTCAATTCTTACCTTAATATTCAAATCATTTAATATATCATTCACTGTTCTGGTTAATGTTGAATCGTAACTTCCACGAATGAATGAGTATGTATTGATTGGTTCTGTTGCATTCTTGCGAACTCTTGATTCAGCCATAACCACTAATGAACGTTTTGAATCATCCATAGAAGTCATTATGTCAATATCATAATCATTGCAAGAATAACATTTAATCATTCTGTTCGAGGTTGAATAGAAGAAATTAGTGTTGCAATAAATGTGAAGACCTCCTGATGCGGTTTTAACGATAACATCTTTATCCGAAAGTTTTGATAAAATGTCTTTTCTAACTGTTTCTTTAAGTTCATCATTGTATGATTTATTGATATCAACATCTATAATCGTTAAATTTGAAATTTTATTTACTAATAAAGCTGTACCAGTTTTCCTTCCTCTTCCTCCATCATGTTTGAGGTAGTTATGTAAATCAATCTTGTTTTCACCAATTCTTTCGTTGAGGGTTTTAGTTTCTGCCACAACTAATTCCTCAGCTAATGAATCAATAACTTTTTCATCAGAAACGATAAAGTTACTGTTGTTGTTTGTTGCTGTCATTTATATAGGAATAAAAAAATAAAAATAATTTTAAAACTAACTTTATTTTTGGACTACATCAAATTTTCGTAAATGTTGTCAAAATGTCATGTTGTCACATTTTTTCAGCGAAGTTAAATGACCTGGTGACCTGGTGACCTGGTGACCCCTTCAGTTCTTCAAAAATAAGTCATAACTGCCTTCCTCCTGTGATGTTGTCAAAATGTCATGTTGTCACATTTTTTCAGAGAAGTTAAATGACCTGGTGACCTGGTGACCCCTTCAGTTCTTCAAAAATAAGTCATAACTGCCTTCCTCCTGTGATGTTGTCAAAATGTCATGTTGTCACATTTTTTCAGAGAAGTTAAATGACCTGGTGACCTGGTGACCTGGTGACCCCTTCAGTTCTTCAAAAATAAGTCATAACTGCCTTCCTCCTGTGATGTTGTCAAAATGTCATGTTGTCACATTTTTTCAGAGAAGTTAAATGACCTGGTGACCTGGTGACCTGGTGACCCCTTCAGTTCTTCAAAAATAAGTCATAACTGCCTTCCTCCTGTGATGTTGTCAAAATGTCATGTTGTCACATTTTTTCAGAGAAGTTAAATGACCTGGTGACCTGGTGACCTGGTGACCCCTTCAGTTCTTCAAAAATAAGTCATAACTGCCTTCCTCCTGTGATGTTGTCAAAATGTCATGTTGTCACATTTTTTCAGAGAAGTTAAATGACCTGGTGACCTGGTGACCTGGTGACCCCTTCAGTTCTTCAAAAATAAAGTATTATTGAATAACCCGAAGCATTAACGTAAACACATATTTCTGGTCGTTAATGACAAAAATAAATGGTTCATTTACTCACAATATTTTTGTACAAAACGACCCCAAACTTTTAACTTCTTTTCTGCAGCTTCAAATGCTATCTTAGCGAGTTCATATTCTCTAAATTCTCTCTTTAAATCTTCTTGTTCCCATTGGTCTAGTTCGTATGAAGAATCTCTATAACCATAACATATCTCGCGTTCATGTTCTAATTGTTTTTCACACATTTTTCCAACTTCTTCTTCAAACAAATGTTTAGCATTCTCTACTGTATCTTCGAGTTCTTCTTCATCTAATTTCTCATGAACTTTCTTGTCTATGGAGTCCATAATTTTTCTAACTGCTATGCAATATTTTGGAGAAGCCCACATTGTTATATAGTTTATAAGTCTTGGGTCTACATACGTTCCTCTAACCTGTTTGATTTCATCAGAAATTCCCGCATGAATTTTGTATAAAAAACAACCGTCTGAATTCCGGCGGTTGCTATATTCTTCACAAAATGCCTTATAATACTCTTCCCAGGACTTATTTTCCAACAGCTTTCTAAAGTCTTTCCTAAACTGCTGACACATCTTTGTTGCATTAATGTAACCATCCTTGTCTCTACGTAAGACTTCAATATCGTTATAAGTGCCTTTTGTGAATGTTTCACCATTAGATTTGTTCGTGAATGTTTTTGCTTCGACTGACATTATTGTCTTTACATACAAAATAAAAAATAAAAATAATTTTAAAACTAATGAAATTAATTATTTTTGGACTGAATTCATTCATAACACCATTAATAAGCTCATAAAATGCTCGTTTTGAGGTTGAGCCACTTTTGGCTCGACCGTATTCTTTCATCCAAAACTCAATAAACAATTATTGAATAACCCAAAACCATTGACGATAAAATATATTTCTGCAGTTCATCCATTACTTCATTACCTAATTAATTACAAACATAAAATATATTTAGTTCATTCGGTAAGCCCAGACCTTTGGGTCAAGCACATTCATTGAACTCTATACCATGCGAATACAGTCATAAATGGTGGCATGTATTCTTTACTTTGTCCCGTTGTTTGTGTATATCCTGAAACGAAATGTGTATGGTTTCCTTCTCCCTGAGTGTCACTCCAGTAACAATTTATAGCAAACTTAACGTCGTCTTTAACATCATATCCTTTACCTTTTGTCATTCCTGACCAATCCCAATATCTATGCTTATGCCAACCCGCTTGAGATGTACTTAAATCTATGTAGTGACTGTGTGCAGGTAAATTTTCACCTGAAATCGTTTTACTTCCTCCTGTTTCCTTTGAAGAGTTTGCACAATACAAAAACCTGTCGACTATTTGTTCCCATGCACCAACACCAAACATTACTTGAGGACCTCTTGCATCCATAGATGTATAAATAGAACCTACTGGGTTCATTAAATCAAACATATGAGATATTATAGGATTGTCTCTTTTGAACTTAAAATATAGTGTAACTATTTCAGGTTTCTTCTGGTTTGTGTCAGAATATTTTTTATAATATAATCTTATGTTTTCAGGGTAGGTAAAATCTTGACTATAATATTTATTTCTGTCATCTGTATAATAATATACTATTCTCGTTTTTTCTATTGCATTATATCTTTTATATCTATAATAATCTAAATATAATGTTAACTTTTGTTCATCTACATGTGGTGTTCTGACATCATCTCCATAGTCATAATAATATGGTGCTGGAGCCGGGTCAGGCAATGTCATATCTGCCATTTCATAAACTCTTAAATATTTCTTTTGTTCGTCTCCATATAAGTTTAAGTAACAGTTGTTGTCTAATGGAACTTTAACTTGTGTTCCATCATTCTTTATATAGCCTACATACATTTCATTGTTATTTTTCGGAATGAGTTTACACCGTGTACCATTTTTTAAGGAGTATACAAACTCCCATCTAAAATATTTGTTTTCTTCATAGACAGAAACATCCCCAACAATAGTTTCAATATTTTTTGTTCCTATCAAACTTTGGTATATTTCGTTAACATATTCCTTATCCACCTTCTTCTCTAACTCATCGTTAACATATGTTTTATCCGCTTTAAGGTCTAAACATCCTGAAACCCATCCTGTATCGGCTTTAGTTTTTAAAATCTTTGATGTCCATTCATGATACCATTCAACCCTTTCTTTAATTTCATTATCTTTTTCATCAACATAAACCAAATTTGCCTTCTTATTTAATTCACTAGCCACGTATTCCTTATCTACCTTCTTCTCTAACTCATCGTTAACATATGTTTTATCCGCTTTAAGGTCTAAACATCCTGAAACCCATCCTGTATCGGCTTTAGTTTTTAAAATCTTTGATGTCCATTCATGATACCATTCAACCCTTTCTTTAATTTCATTATCTTTTTCATCAACATAAACCAAATTTGCCTTCTTATTTAATTCACTAGCCACGTATTCCTTATCTACCTTCTTCTCTAACTCATCGTTAACATATGTTTTATCCGCTTTAAGGTCTAAACATCCTGAAACCCATCCTGTATCGGCTTTAGTTTTTAAAATCTTTGATGTCCATTCATGATACCATTCAACCCTTTCTTTAATTTCATTATCTTTTTCATCCACATATTCCTTATCCGCCCTCTTCATTATGTCATTTAGGAAACCTTCTATGAATTCCTCATTTAAATTAAATCTTCCAATCTTCAAAACTTTAGGAAATGCATTTAATGCGTAATATCTCTGTTCTTCTGGTGGAATTGATGTTATATCATCCGTTATACCTTTAATTTTTGAATTCATAAATAAATTTCTTTTATATTTGATATCACTGCACTGCACCCTGCAAACGAATTCGAAATGTTCATTTTTCAATACTATCTCCAAATCTCATATTTCAACCTTTGCGTTTGTTCTGCCGTCTTTGAATTATATGCATATATGGCGTATGTAATGTCTGAAGGACCTGGGTGCTTTGTGCCTTAAGTTGTTGTGGTTGCTGTTGTTTAATCATTTATTATGATTTAAAAATAAATTTAATCCGTATCTCATCAGCTATTTTCTCTATTTGAAATTGCCATAATATTTCATTCATGAATTCTAAATCACAATCAAATAGGTCAGTTACTCTAAATTTAATATTTGATAAATCTTTTGAATGAAGAATAAATGAATTCCCGGATAATTGAAACGGATATGATAAAGAAAATATGTTTAAGTTGATGGAATAAAATGTTTGTATTGATGGGTAAGAGTTAGGGTCTAATGTTTGATGTGAAAATCTCATTGGGGTATTAACTTTATCACATTTGATTAAAATGAAATTGGAACCAGTGTCAGAATACAAAAACATCCCCAACATCTTTTTCAAAATTTAATATCCCCAACAATGAACGAAGATGAGGAGTACAAAATTTAATTTTCAGCGGGAATTTAATAAGGTTATTTATTTCATCAAGTTCAAAAAGTTTATCAGGTTTTGATTTAAAATTTTCTTCATACCATACGATAAATGATTCATTTAAATAACTTAAAATCATGTTAATATCCCATTTCGTTATCACATTATTTATATACATATCATACGTTTTTTCAAGGTCATCTTTAATAAATGATATATAATCTGAAGGGTCTAAAAAATGGGATTAAATTTACCACTCACAGAAACGAGAGTAACATTATAAATTCCGCTAACTGTTAAATTTAATTCACAACTATTATTCGAAATAATATGATAATTGACATTTTTTATTACGATTAAAAATATGGTAAAGCGTTATTTTCCAGTGATAATAAAACTAGAATAAGATTACCTCAAGAATTCATAAATTCAACGAATAAGAAATTCATTCATGTTATAAATTTTAGTGTTTTCAGAAAATATGAGTCAATGTCATATTCATCAACAGGTTATATTTCACTTCATTCAAAATTTAGTTCAATCAAACCCATATAATGACCATTTCATAAGATTTTCAGATGGTATTAAAAATGTAATTGATAGATTAAAATATGAACAGATTGACAATATCGATGAATTTTTGGAATTTTGGTTTTAATATCCTGATGGAAAAAAGATGAAGTTAAAGATAAAGCTGATACTATAACAAAAACAATTACAATGACCGATCCAGATAGTGGGGAACAAAAAGATAAAACAAACGATAGAAACTGTGAAAGGTCAATTATTATTGATTATGATTCAAAGGATTATTATTCAATAATGTTAATGCTTGAATATTAAATAGCCTTAACAAAGAATTTTTCAAGTGATATTTTATATTCATCAACTATTTTATTGTATATGTTATTATAAGTTAAATGAAGTTCAGTTTTGTTGTTCCGTTCTTTGATATCTAATTGTGCTAATATCCTTTATAGGATTTATTTTTGCAACTGTTCCGCAGCATGAAACCTCATTCATCTATGAAAAATTGAATCTTAACGTCTGAATCTTGAACATCACAAAGAATGGGCGATAATGTGAATTAATGATTCATAAGGTAAAATAATTAAACCAGATTGGTCAATTAAATTTATTATTGAATCATAATTATTAATTATTATATCACGGTAAATTTTCATTAATTCTGAATTAATGTCTATTTTATATGGCGCATTGCGACTGGAATCGTAGATTCCTGGGTTCTCGATGTTTGATGAAAAAGGAGGGGGTATGTTGGATAAGTGGGAATTTCAACAGTTCTTTAAGGTTCAGATATAAATGATTGGGTCTCCATCTTCTTTATTTTGCTCCTCCTCCTTTTTCGGTAAGTCACGAGTTAATAAATTTGTGTTGAGTTGCTGACCTTGTTAATTCGGGGCTAACATTAACTTTAACATTTTGAATAATTCGTGATTTATCATCATTTACGTTATAACCAACCGTAATCTCTGCTTTTGCGTTAGTGTTTTTTGACTAGTGAAACGTCTTCTCATTTATAATCGAATAAAAAAAAGAAAAATATATTTAAAGTTTTATTTAGTTGTTACGGTAATATCCCAAGGTTCATCATTGTTTGCTTATACTTTCTTTGTAACTGCACCAATTATGTTATTGATATTGCTTTGAGTTTCTTCCAGTCTTATTTTATTCATTTACAATATCTTTAAATCATTTCATTACATGCATTCTTAAAAAACCATCTGATTTTCTTAATTTACGTCTATCACTTTCTTTAATTAAATCAAAGTTATAACCTTGTTGAGAATAAAGTGGTTTCTTTATCAATTCCTTGAACGCTTCTGAAAGTGAAGATGAAGAAATTCTTGCCACTTGAATTGGTTTAAATTCTGCTTTCATTGCTTCTTTCTGTTCATTGAACACTGGATCGAATAAAGCAACTTTAAAGAATTTCTTAGCTGGAATTTCAGGTCTCAAATTTGCATATTGACCATCAAACTGATTAACATATTGAGGTAATCCGTTTGGTCCTTCTTCAACAGCATTTAATTCTTCATTGAAATAAGAATATGGATTATAACGGTATGAATTAATTGGACCATTTTCACCTTCTCCAATGTATTGTTTAACAGCTTTTCCATTTTCATCAAATTGCATAGGATAACGTTCATTATATGCTTTACGTTTAGGATAATCAGTTATAGTTAATTTGTAACCATTTATGACTTTAATATTACCTTGACCATCAGTAACGAAAACTTCATTTATACCATCAGGTTTTCCATTTGGACCCGTAATGTCTGCTTCGTGTGCTTCCCAATTTGGACCATGACGTTTGGCATATGCTTGAGCTTCTGGTAATGTTAAAACGTTTCTCATTTGTTTAACATCTTTTTGAAGACCAGCAACAATATGAACTAATTCTTTCATTCCGTCTGGAACTTTCATAGTTCTATTATATGTACCCTTTTTGTTTGTTCCTTGTTTTAATGGAACCTGTAGAAGATTTGCTATTTCTGTCATGTTTAATTATAAATAAAAAATAAAAATTAATTATAAAAAGTTAATCAAATTTAACACTTCCTTTATTTAAATCAACTATTATTTTTCCATGTTCTCCTAATTGTTGATATTGTGTGTAAAGTTCATTAATGCTCATTGGTAAATTCACTTGATAAAGCATAACGTTCAACTGTTGACGACTAAAACCACTGAAAATGAAAAGTGTTGATAGATTTGATTTAATGTTTGTGCTTAATGCTTTAAAGTATTGAACAGCCATAAAGAATGAACATTGAATATGTCGACATTGAGTTAATAATTGATTAAAATATGATTTCTCATTAGTTATTAGTTTTGATTTCACGGCATCATCTAGAAAAATTAGTGAATGCAAAAATTCTTTATCAAAATTTGAAATAGAAAGTGTTTCAAATAATTCATCCCTTTGTTTATCAATAATTTTATCCTCTAATCCTTGCTTCTTGATTGTATTATATAATTCTTTATACATTAAAAAGTTTTTTAAATAATCTTCTGCTTCTTCTTGTGATAAATAAATAATTGGAATTTTGATTAAATGCTTTAAAGATTCAAATGTATCATCTGAAGGTGAACCTGAACGGTTGATATAAATTAACACATGTGAATGGGGGAAGTGTTAGCAATAATGATAATTTGTTTTAATATCGTTAATGTTTTACCTTTATTTTGTTTACCAATTGCTGCAGTGATTGAATTTAAATAACATTCAGAATATGGAATTTTCATTAATTTTTCCTTAGATAGAGCATTTCTATTATCACTCAATGCTTCATTAATCATATCATCTATGTATGTATTATATACTCCTGCTAATTCTTCAGAATTTAAATCCATTTAATCAAAAATAAATTTATAATTTTAAACATTTCTATTCATCAATATTTCATCATATGAACTTCTATACTGTGGTGGTGTACCTGTTGGATGATATTTCAAACCTTCATCCGGTGTCCATGTCCAATACGTAGTCCTAGTAAACCAAACCTGAGGAGGATTTGTCACCTTTGAACAGTAAGTGTCATTTTCACCCTGAATGATTGGATAAGCTTTCACTTGTACTGTAACTTGTGAGTTGAAAGTTTCTAATCCATCAAAGAATATACCCGCTCCATCACGTTGAACTGGAATAGTGCATAAGAATGAAGTTTGGTCTTTCCATGTTCTAGCTAATGGCGTGCCATCATCATCATTCAGTGGTCTAGTTAATGAGTCCTCGTATTCTTCTGTGCATTCATTCACTCCATCTAAATCAGAAGCTTGAAGCATACGTGTAAAGAATATGTCACCCACTGTGGTCATCGCTTGATCGGGGAAGTTTCTGGAATCTATAGTGACCTGAAGACCTCGAAGCATTGGATTTTCTAAAACTGTTCTTTGCATTGCATTCTTCGGAAATGTTAACACAACATCTGTAACATTATGAAGAGCGTATGAGAAATCCGAGCTAATACCTTCAGGAGTGATGCAACCTCCATTTAGTGAACGAACGTCAATATGTTGAGCTGGAATCATGAATGGATCTTCCTTACTAAATAAACGTGGTATTGCTTTAACTGATTCTTCAATTAAACCATATCCTGGTGTAATGCATTTATCCTCTAAAACTTCCATCTTTGTGCATGAAATAATAACGTTATCAACTGTTGCGTCAGCAGATGTAGCGGCTAAGCTTGTAATTAATTTGGCAGGAAGTCCGATTTGTTGGAATTTGCGATCATATTTATAAACATGATTCATAATCTTTTCATAATTTTCATCAGTTATCTTTTCATAAACATAATTTTGTAAATCAGCAACTCTTAACGGGTCAACCTGACAAAATACTAAAGTATCCCTGAAAACATAATATTTAAGAATGATTTCACCAAATGATTTAGGATAATCATCGAACGCCTGAAATGCTAACAAATCATTTACCGGAATAATCATATCAAAAGTGATATCAACTTCTTCATTTGCATTCTTGAAAACTTCTGAAGGGTCAATATATTTACCACATACTGAGTTATCATATTTTTGAACATTATTATATAACGAATGAACAAACTTTTTAACTTTCCTTTCTGATTTTGGTTTATATGTTGCAAAAGTTAGTATACATATCATGGGTACGGCGACACTGCGTTCCACCTTACCCAAGATAACGGTTTGACACTTTACAAAACCGTTAACATATATTTTACAACACAAACGACAACACTAACTTAACATTAAATATTTACAAAGCCGCCAACCACTTCACTTCACTAACGTTTTCACAAACGACTTCACTACTGTAAAAATAAACGTTCTCACTTACAAAAGTATTGCAGCGCTTCCCATTGCTGTGCTTCACATAACAGCTCATAATCTTCTGACTCACTTTCTTCTTCATATAGGTCAAAGTCACTGTCAAAATAAATGTTAGTAAGTTTTGACAAAGCTAATGAAACACGCTTACCGTTTGTATCTATTGCTTGTATAAACTTTCCATTATGTTTGTTGTCATAAACGCTCAAACTAACTTTACCCTTTCTCCCTCGTATCTGATAGAATGTATTTTCACGAGGAACGAAGAACAAATTCTTGAACTCATGACCGTTGTAGTTTGTTATCTCAATAGTTTTCGTCATTTACATCCAAATAAAATAAAAAATAAAATATAAAAATAAACTTAAAAATTAATGATATCACCACCCTCACACGTATGAAAACATAGCGCAAAAATAAATTTAGGTGAAGCGGTGAGATCTCACCTCTTTTTTCACCTGTTTTTTCACCCTAGCCGCAAAGCGGCTCTGACCCTTTGGGTCTGTTGAATTCATTGCTTTATAACTCTCTTCCTTGGTTTCTTTTTAGTTGCTTTCTTCACGTCTGTCTCCAACTTGACTGTCTTTCTTCTTCGGCCGTAATGATACCAGTTACTTCCACCAGTCAATGGGTTAAATGGTCTTTCGTAAGGGTTTCCATACATTCCATAGGGACCATACGGAAGAACTACTGTGGAGGAAGAGTTCCATCGACTCTATTTAAATGCATTGTTTCACCTTTCATCTGGTCATTAAAGTCTTTTGCGTGTTTTGCAAACTCATCGTCCTTTCCTAAAGCATTTTCTGACTCAGTCGCAACCAAATTGGATGCTTTATTTATGAGCCCTATTTTATTTAATCTTAACTTCTTTGCAACCCAGCCTCCAATCTTCCCTTTATTTGCATCTAATGTCTTCGAAACCCTTCCTCCACTCATTTTATTTACTGCGTCATAAGCTCCAAGTGCTTTTGCTCCAAATGCTAATGCTTTTGTTCCCATTGCGCCTAAAACTGCCCAAGCTACCATTTACACCATATTAAAATCATCTCTCTTCAATATTATCTCATAAAAGTTCTCGTTACTGGAGAAAGTCAATGAAACATAACGTTCTCACGGACTTCGCCCTCACCGCTTTGCGGTCTATCTAACTTATTTCTTATATCATCTATACGCTTCAAAATGTCTGAACAATTGCTAACATCTTCTACAACAGTTATTTCATCATGAATGACCTTCAAGAACAAGCTCATTTAATATGCTATTAAAATCATCTCAATAATGAGTCCATCCTTTCCATCTTTAGGTAGCACAACATCTTTCATTGAAGAAGGTTCGACAAGTCTTATGTTAAACTTACTGACAAAGTTTGTTATACTATAATGCTTCGGTGGCGAATACATGTAGTTTGAAAGACATAATATAGATTCTTCAGCAAATTCACTTATACTGGATTTTATAACAATGTTCTCACGAGACCAAATACCACCAATTGACAATCTTGTAAGCAATCCTGCTGAACCTTCTACTGTAAACGTCGATGGTAACATTCCACGAAGGTCATCTATTGACATCTTTGAGTCACTGAATTTAAATATTTTCTTAAAGCAATCGTCATTATCTAACCATGCAATAGCTTTGAAGTTTTCATTCGAATATACATCTGCTTCATTAAATGTAAAACCTGACTTCTTTGCAGAGATGACTTTAAAATCTATTGAGTTTGTTTCAAAATTATATGCTATGGTAACTTCTGAAGGTAATGGATGCCCTTCCGCAGTCAGTTGTTCTCTCACTACCGTTTGAAGCTTTGTGTTAAAAACTTTCATGTCATCTCCTGTGTCTAGGTTCACATACACAGCAACAGGAAAACTATCTTGCTTCTTTGTTTCATCATTATATCTCAAAACATTAAAGTTCTTCAATAATATTGTTCTTCCTGCTGGAATACTTCGAACCTGTCTGATTTCAATAGCTTTCTCACCTCCTACATACTCTACCCAGTGCCTTGGATATTCATAAGTATACTGACTTTCTTGAATTTTGGTTGGTTTCATCATAACGTGTTCATAGTATATCTTTATACTCTTGTCAGTTAGACTCGGTGCTATGTTCTGAATATTTCTGACTTGCATTTTTAATGGAGATAAAATGAAGCATTTAATACATGACGTAGATGAAGACATGAATGAAACTACAGACAAACTTAACTCTTCTCTCATTCTTCCTTTCAGTAAGGACTATGAGTTCTGTTCAAATGGCGTTTATTTCTATTGTGGAAAGATGGGTTCAGGTAAGACATTTAATTTAATTCGTCATATACTCATAACAGAGCGTTTAGGAAACGACTCTTACTATGACCAAATCATTATATCAGCAACTTCAGACTCTATGGATTCAACAGCGAAAACATTTATGTCAAAAGTTCAAGCCTCTGTCGTTAAAGTTCCAGACAGTGAACTCATTGAATTTCTTCAACGTTACATTCGACGTAAGAGGAAATATTATGCCATCGTTGAATTTATACAGTCAGGAATGCAAAAGACTTCTGAGGAGATGGAAAGAATTATTGACAAACACCACTTACGTCAGTACTCAGGAGTTTACGATATGAAACGACTTACAAACTACATTCTGTCAAAACTTTCAAAATACCCCTTCAAAAAATATCCTTCAAATACTTTGTTAGTTTGCGACGACTTCGCCGGAAAAGGTTTAGTGTCAAAACCAGACTCACCATTAGCTAATATCATTACTAAAGTCAGACATTACCTTAACTGTAGCAATACTTATGCAAACATGGAGGTTTTTAGCTTTAAACATAAAACGTCTCATAACTGACTTCGTTATCTTTCAAGGTTTCTCACGTTATGATATTGAACTCATTTGGAAACAGTCAGGTATAACATTACCTTTTGAAGAAATTTGGGAAGCATATAAGTCTCTCATCTCTCCTCGTTCATACCTTGAGATTCATATCATGACTAATACCATTAAAGTCAAAAATATTCCATGGGAACGACCAACATTGTTTTAAAGTTTAACCTTCAATTGACTGATGGTAAACAAATTCCATGCATCTCTGTCGCCATTTCTGTTAATATTTTTGCTGTCATTCATATCATCCACTTCCATCCGTTAGCTTTTGAGGATATGTGTTAGAATAGCTGTTCTTAAATGAAGGCTTTTCCCTTGAGAGCATAAACTCTATAACTTTCTGCATACTTTATGTTTGAACCTCCTGAGCCATCATTGACATAAATTTTTATAGGCTTCCACCCTTTGTTCATGTTCCTGCTTCTTCCCTTAGCTCTTTTGTTCAGTAGTTCTACATCTTTATACACAGCTCCTGTCTCAGTGAATTCAACAATATTTTCATTCGTTAGCTTTACATTCAAACCCTTGTCGAGTATATTGTTCATTTCATACATATAAAAGGTTTTTATTCTATATGAAATGAGAAGCAAATCCATCTTAGCTGGTGCCGTTAATGTTCCAATTGAACCAACATCAAATGTTGACTCACGAACGACAAACAATATTGTCATAAAGAACTATAGTTCAGAGTGTTTGAAAGAAAAAGAACCAGAACTGAAATCCGTGAATTTAAACTCAGCTTCAAACGCTAACGCTACATCAGATGTTAAGTTAGAGTATCCACCACTGGACCAAATTCTTTCAAGAGAAGCCAACGACAACCCTTACATAAATGTTCAAACAAATCCTTCAGATAACGTAGACCATTACCTTCTTCAGTTATACCAAACAATTTTACTCAAAGACGATAAGAAGCTTTTGACAAATCTATAAGTAAGAACCAAATAATTTCTAACAAAGGAGGACCTTGAAAATGTTATATCACGAATAACAGGGAAACAATGTGTCATTGACTATCTCGACCCTGAAATCGAATGCTGTGGTCAAACGCCACCATTCATGAAAATAGGTAACATCCGCATCATTGAAACACCAGGAACTACAGGAGTTGAGTTTAAGTATAAATATTCGAATGAATATACAAAACTTTCAACAGAATATAAACTTTGTTTGAAATATGTTTTAGTAAATTAAAGCAATTTGTAATATCTATCCAAAACTTCTTCAACAGTATCGAACTCATCTTCATAATGCAAACCTAATCTTATTGACTTGGTGCAGTTTTCACTAACACAATATAGCGCTTTGCGCTCGGCGCCTTTGACGCCTTTTTCTGTTCTCTTGACTGACATAACTAATTCATTTGTTTCATCAAACAGCAACAACCAAAGTTCATGACCTAATACATAACATTCATACTTTATATTTTTAGCTCTGAGTTCTCTTGTAAGCTGTTGCATTTAATATTTTCTAAAAAGTCAACTTCAACAGTCATTCGCACTGGTGCCTTCAGTTCTACAGGCTCTCCTTGAAAGTCAACAAGTCTGAATTGCATGTCTTTCAAATTATGAGGACTAATGCGAATCCATTTACCTAAATGAGTTGCTATGACAGGAACGTTTGGAATGAACATTGAATTGACTGCATAACAGAAAGACTTATATTCTACTGAACCTTTACTATTAACTCCTGAAATACCTGTGACATTAGCTATTTTAGACTCAATGTACAAACAATTACCATAACATACGTATGGAACAGATTTCATCTCAATCGTTTTGTCAACACTTTTCAAAGGAAATGTCATATGGTATGCTCCCAAAGCAAGTTGAACTCTATGACTCATTCTTGTATCTTAAACTCCTTTCGCATAACTGAACTTCAAAACTCCTGCAATAAGTTTAACATTCATTAAGTTTTCTTCGTTCTCCTTGTTTATTGTAGTATTTATGAGCGCATTTAACACTCCAGCTAATGTTTCCATCTTATATTCTACATTATTGTGAAATCTTATTTCGTGCTTCTTTCCATCTATTTCAAACTCCATGAAATCTGTTTCGTCAGTTATAACGAATGAAGCAATAGTATTAAAGTCAACCATTCTGAATGCAAGTGGCTCATTCTGTAGACCTAAGTTTGTTTGTAGTTTTACTGTCCCGTATTCGTTTGGGTCTGTACTTTGCAAATAGAACAACATTTTATTCTCATTAAAATATGAGTATAGCTGCATATGCGTATGAAGCTGACAGAGCTAAACGTTTATATTTTGGTCAATACTCTCTCACACTTACTGACAAATATATTGTTATCAGTGATGGAAATACCGAGAAATACATAACATGGAAGGACTATGAAAAGTTTGACCCTATTTTAACTCCATGTACAATGCCATTCATTGTAAATGGTGAAGTTGTCATGAAGAACGACACAACAGTATATAAGTCTGTTCATGAAGCGTTAGAATATATGTTGAATTATAATCCCGAAAGATTTGACCCAAGCACTACGCCATGTACAATGCCTTTTATTAAGGATGGTGAAATCGTAAGAGTTCCGAATTCAACGGTTTACACAGCTGTTCAAAACAGTTTACAAAACATTTTAGCGAATATCTTTAATTCAGAAACTACAGAAATAAAATTACCATATATAACAGATGCTAAAGAAATTAAATCAAAAACGACAACATTATTTACGTCACTTAATGATTTAATGACTTATATCATTAATATTCCTGCACCAACTATAGCATTTGATCCAAACTCGACGGTTTGCAGTGTACCTTTCATAAAGTCGCAAAGCGACCAGGGCGAAGCCCATGACAGTTCATTAATTACTTTAAGGGATTCGACAGTAAATGAATCATTAAAGGCGTCATTAATGAAAATCATTGATTTTAATTCATTCATGAATACATATAATTCATTCATTAATGTTTCATATGCTTCTAAAGAAGGTGAGCCAAAAACTATCGATAAAGCGGTGTATGAAATAAAAGCATCAACGACGAAATTGAATTCGTTAACTTTTGACGGTGATAGTTTCGTTAATGACATAACATCGGGGAAAACAATTTTAACGAAAGAATATTTAAAATCTCATGTTAGTGAGTTCGTTGAAATTGAAAAAGAAGGTGGAATTAAGTTCGATCCACTGAATTTCATTTTCAGCTTAGCGAATGCGGGTGTTAGTTTCGCTGAATGGACAACAATACAGAGTGAAATAAATGCAATATGGACGTTTTTGGGGTCAAAAGCGGGAATGGGTGAGCTTGTAAATGCTGCAAGAACATTAGGTGAAACAGGAAATTTTGTAGATGGTTTTAAAAGACTTGTTTCAAATGTTTTAACAAACACAAAGAAATTATTTAGATATACCATACATAACGGTCGGATTTTCGAACAGGTAGCAACAAACCCTCCGGTTATGGCTGCGTTGATGATGGTTAGAGATATAAAACCACGTAACGACGGGAACGAAGAACATGAACAACAGGATACTGGTCGGGTTATTCGAGACATTAAAAACGTGTATCCTGAAGTTATTGATTTATTTAGAGGAGTTAATGATTCAATTTCAAAACATTCTATAACCCTCGATGAAGAGAATAAATTAACAGATTATATATTCGTCATTATTGCAGAATTAATGAAGAGAATAAATGAAAAAGGAATTGGTGATATCATTAATGTCAGCGATGTAATGATGAAAAGAAATTTTGACTCATTATTTACAAAACCGAAAACAGAATATAGTCTTTATGACGTAATTACCGAATTAATGAAAAAGATTAATGATAATAAGAGTTCTGGCGGAAGAGTTGAATTAGAAGTGAATGATGTTAATGAGAAATTAGCCGAAAAAGCAAACAAAAATGAGCTTTTAGCTCTGAGTGATAAAGTCAAGAACCACGTTCATTATATAAGTTCAGACGAACAGATTATAACGGACTACCATGGATATTTAACACAGGATGAAGAAGTGAAGACGAAAGATGTTAATGAAAGAAGATATAAATACATTCGTGCTAAAGGTTATGACATAAGCTGTACTGTACAGTATGACACGGGTAAAGCACAAGAAACATTTGGTTATACCGGTGAAATTTATGCCTCTACTTTCAATGTTAACGGTGTACTAGTTGAACCAAAATTTACTTTGAGGGTTAAGGCAAAAATAACGTTTGAAGATGCTATTAAAAGTAAAGCTGACAAAGTTGAACTTGACGCAATGAACAAAGTTTTGAAATCTCATAAACACAACATCTCCGATATAAATGAACTTCAAGCTACATTAGACAGTAAAGCAGACAAGAACCATACACATAAATCCTTCACTACTGTTAGAGCAGACGACATAATATTGAACTTTGACCTTGGTTCAAGTGCACCATTAGAAAATCCAAGTACAAGCGTAAAAGATACTCTTAACAATTTAGATAAGAGTTGCAGGAATATCGAAGATCATGCCAGAAACTTTGAAGCATATGAACTACCCGCAATGTTAGATAAGAAAGCTGACAAGAACCATACACATAAATCCTTCACTACTGTTAGAGCAGACGACATAATATTGAACTTTGACCTTGGTTCAAGTGCACCTTTAGAAAATCCAAGTACAAGCGTAAAAGATACTCTTAACAATTTAGATAAGAGTTGCAGGAATATCGAAGATCATGCCAGAAACTTTGAAGCATATGAACTACCCGCAATGTTAGATAAAAAAGCAGACAAAACAGAGCTTCAAACATTAAAGACTCAGATTCTTGAAACATTATATCCTATAGGCTCTATTTATACGTCAATGAACTCAACAAATCCAGCAACAGTTTTAGGTTTTGGTACATGGCAGCAGATTGTAGACAAATTCTTATACTGTGCTAACTCTTCAAAGCAAACAGGAGGTTCGAAGAAAATTAAAGAAGCAAACCTTCCACCACACACTCATACAGGAACTACAAACTTTTCTGGCGACCATATCCACTCATTAAGAGACCATCCATTATACAACTCAGAGTATGAAGCTGGCAATGACGTTTTATCTCCATCTTATAACAATGCAGCAAAAAAGACTTTTCGACAAACTGAACCGGGAGGAAATCATTCACACACTTTCACAACAAATCCAACAGGCTCGGGTGAAGATTATATGCCACCATTTGTGACTGTATTCGCATGGTATAGAGTTCAATGAACGCGCTTGAGCCTGCTTTGCGGACTTACCGCCTAGAATAAAATCTTTAACTTTACATAAATGAGCTTGAAAGAAGTATTCGAACAACATCCATGGAGGTCATTTAAGAAGTTCAATGAAGCTGCAAAGAGTTGGGGATTTACTAACAGAGCTGAAGTTAAAAAGTTCTTTGACAAAAATGTTGTACATCAAACAAAAATAAACCCTTACGACTACTTTTTACCAATTTACTCCAACACTCCTGACGCATACCAATTTGACACTCTCATTCAAAGCAGAAAAGGAGGACATAAACCATTCCTCATCTTCATAAATGTTAACACTCGTAAAGCATATGCATATCCAATGAAAAATAAAGGAACTCGTGAAGTGTTAAGAGTTTTACAAAAGTTTGTATCAGAACATAACCCAAGTACTTTAACATCAGACCAAGACAGTGCATACCTCAGCAATGAAATCACAGAATTTCTCATTAAGCATAACATAACTCACTACACTACTGAAGACCATAACCATAACATACTCGGCATCATAAACCGCTTCATAAGGACTCTCAGAGATTTAAACCAAGAGCGAGACTTTACCGAAGAAACAATGAAACACTTTCTCGAAGTATATAATTCCTCAACGCATTCTACAACAGGACATACACCAAATTCAATGACACAACAACAACAAGAAGAAAAGTATATACAAAAGAAACGAAGCCAAACACAAAATATCAGAAATTCAACACAATTTACCCTCATTCCTGGTACAAAAGTTCGTGTAGTTCTTGACGACAAACCGTTGACAAAGAAACGTTTAAGGTTAAGTCGAAATTATTATATCGTAGACTCTACGCAAGGTAATGGATATCTTATAAAAGCTGCCGACGACTCTATTGCGTTTTATCCTCGTCATAAATTAGTCGAAAGTAGTAATGGCAAACTTGCTGAAACCATTGACGAAGCAAAGCGAGGAGTGGTTATTGAAATACTTGGCTACAACATAAACGATGACACTTATAAAGTAAGATATGAAGGAGGTGTTGAAGATGTTATACCATCTAAGAACTTGAGAGAGTCAAAGCCAACACATCTGGGACCATTAGAGCGGGAGTACTGGAAAGACAAAAATATGCCAGAAAGAATAAGAAAATTCTTCTAAACTTTTTCATTAGATGTAAATCAGACAAAAATAATGTTTAGGTGAAGAGGTGAGATTTCACCTGTTTTTTCACCCTCACCGCTTAGCGGCTCAGACCCTTTGGGTCTCGTGAATTTTCATGAATTTCCTTAAGATAGAAAAAATAAAGTTAGTTTTATTTTTATTTATTTTTTTATTTTGTATGTAAGAACAGAAATGTCAGTCGAAGCAAAAACATTCACGAACAAATCTAATGGTGAAACATTCACAAAAGGCACTTATAACGGTATTGAAGTCTTACGTAGAGACAAGGATGGTTACATTAATGCAACAAAGATGGCAAGAGAAGCAGGAAAGTTAAACCATTTAAACAGATTTCTCAATAGTGCTAAAATGCAGGAAATTCTTGAGTTTTGGTTGAAAGAATACGGTCGAGCCAAAAGTGGCTCAACTTCAAAACAAGCATTTTATGAGCTTACTAAGGGCGTTATGAATGAATTCAAAGGTATTTACATACATGCTGACCTCGTTCATTTTGTTGCTGAATGGTGCTCTGTAAAGTATGCATTTTATGTCAAAGATATTATGGACTCCATAGACAAGAAAGTTCATGAGAAGTTAGATGAAGAAGAACTCGAAGATACAGTGGAGAATGCTAAACCTTTGTTCGAAGAAGAAGTTGGGAAAATGTGTGAAAAACAATTAGAACATGAACGTGAGATATGTTATGGTTATAGAGATTCTCCATACGAACTAGACCAATGGGAACAAGAAGATTTAAAGAGAGAATTTAGAGAATATGAACTCGCTAAGATAGCATTTGAAGCTGCAGAAAAGAAGTTAAAAGTTTGGGGTCGTTTTGTAAAAAAAATATTGTGAGTAAATGAACCATTTATTTTTATTGAATTCACCAAAAAATATAATTTAGGTGAAGAGGTGAGATCTCACCTGTTTTTTCACCCTCACCGCTTAGCGGCTCAGACCCTTTGGGTCTCGTGAATTTTCATGAATTTCCTTAAGATAGAAAAAATAAAGTTAGTTTTATTTTTATTTATTTTTTTATTTTGTATAAAAGATATGATTTCAACAATCGGCACAACAACAATTCAAACAACAGCACCAAACTCGTTAGTCATGAATCCAACATCTATGTTAGTAGAGATGAAAAACTTCATTCCTTCTTCATATACTTTTGAAACAGAAATCCAGAAGATAAAGCAAGAACTTTTAACAAGTAATTTAGACTGTAGTGCGAAAGATGAAACAAATGAAGAATATCTTTATGAAATGCAGGACATTATTGACCATTTACCCAAATTGCCTGAAATTCAGCAACAAAAACTCACTATTCCTGAATTTGACGAAATAGAAGTCAAACCAACTGACTCAGTAGAAATAAAGAAGTTCATACGTAAAGTAAATTATGAATTCCTTGGTTTTCATTGCAACCATAAGGTTATGGACAAAGATTGCGACATGGTATATAAAAACATTTCTGACATATATAAATCTGAGGAGTTTAAGACCTACGACAACTTTGTTTCATTAGTTGCAAAATGTGTTTGGGAAATAAGAGATAAAGATAGAAGAGGCAAAGTATGGAACGAACAAATAAGACCCGCTATGTTTGAGATGAAGAGAGCAATTGACGCCTTAGTTGTTTTAGCTGGTTTTATTTCAATGTATAACGCAAAAATGAACCCGCAATGTTCAAAATGTAAGGCAGCAATTAGGAAATATAACTACTCAGTCAAAGAGATAGAAAGAATGAGAAACGACTATGCAGACTTAAAGAAAGAAGCAGAAAAGCCAGCAGAAGATAAAATGAACATGTTAGAATTTCTGAACAAAAACTATCCAACAGCAGAAGATTTCCTTCTATCTGACGTCAAGAAGAAGTATAAAGAAACCTTCGGTATTGTTAAAACTTTTGACATACTGACAGAAGAAATAGAAGCTACGAAATTGTTTAGGATTTCAAATATACATCGTACAATTCATGTAAAACGCTTGTGAAAAAACTGGGGTGAAAAATTAAGTGAAAAAACAGGTGAGATCTCACCTCTTCACCTAAAATATATTTTTGGTCAAAGCTTCCACGAGAGAAAAGATTCCTCATTCGCTAAGGATTCCAAAAATGAAAAAATCATTGATTT